AATCATATTTTAAATGGCTGTGCTAAAAACACTAATTTTATTATTAATCAAGGAGCCTTAGAAAAATAGTTTTGATCGTCTAGTATTTTAATTAAAATATGCCTAAATCGTATTTTTAGTCATATCTCAGTTTTTCAAATAGAAAAAGGGTGACTCATTAGCATATTCGGAAAAAGAATTTTTTTACGAATAATTTAGTACCATACACTTAATACTTTGAGTAAAATTGTCGTTATGAACCGCATGTTACAATTGCAAATAAACCATATTTATGCGAAACTATCAAAAGTTGACATATGATATGTCATTCTATTCAGAGTGTTATTTTATATAGGATAAAATAGAAATATACAGAGGGTGCCATTTAAAAATCAAGACACCAGTAGTGGTACAGTTACAAGAAGTGGCTAAAATCAATTGTATACGCCAATTAATCCTAATTTATATTAAGAAATAAAAAGTTATAGGGGTGAGCCACTTTTGAGGCGCACTCGGTATATTTTGAAGTTAAAAGAAATGTTCTCTTTAAAACACTAAGTTTAATTAAGAAGGTATTCCATTTAATAAAACATAGAGTTTATGTTACTGTGAAATTTAACAACGCTTAATGTTTTTTGTAATAAAAAAAAGTTCTCCAGTAATAAAAAAGTTACAGGCAGTTAAAAAAGTGGGATGGAATAAAATGCTAACACTACAGATAAAACTTAATTAAAAAACTAAAAATAAATATTACGGGTCTAGATATACAAGGTGAGTCTTAAATAATGCAATGAGGTTTTTCTCGCCAAAATTTTTTTTGGAAAACTTGGAATCTTTGAAAAAAAAAATGGATTTTTTTTTAATTTTTAGTTAAAAGACATAATATTTTCATGATATGGCAACATAGGTAGTAGATTAAATTTACAAGAAAGAAAACTCAGAAAAGATCCAGTGCTATTCACAATTTAAGAGAAATTTTCAAAGTAAAATATCTCGGTTATTTTGGACTTTTTTTTGAAAAACGGAAGAGATAGGAAATAATATGTTTTTTTTTCATCGAGATCTATCAGCCATGAAAATATTTGCACTTATTTAAGACTCACCCTGTGTATACACTTCATTGTGCTGCTTTACTTGTACATGCTATTATAAAAACTGCTAAAATAACAGTCCCCATTTTTAACTTAACACATTATTTTCATATAGGCTTCATCACAATTTGAACCACTGATTTACAAAACACTTTGAAAAGCACACATTACACATTACTTTGAATACTACCTTTCTGAATGAATAAATGTTGAGAATTATTGTCTGTTACCGCCACTTTACGAACTACTTTCAATCTAAGAAAATACATGTTTCACTCAACAATTTTAAATACGTATTTTGTTTTTTCGCTATTTTTTTCGATGTATTTCGACAATTCCGTCGACAGCCCAACCGTCGGCCAAGACAGTCGCGCATCACTGGTTGGTAACTGCTCACTGCTCCTTTGTCACGCCGGCGTGTCGAGCTTGCGTCATGCGAGGTTGCCGTAGTTTCAACAATTTCAAATTCAAGACACTCGAAGCAATCAAATTCTTATTAAATTCTAAAAATAAAACAGACAAACATGAAAGGAAACAAACCAAATACAAATGAATTGATTATTGATAAGGTCACAAAAAAGCAATTTCTAAAATGTTTATCGTAATTCAGAATTCAATATATCGAAAACAGCCAGACGAATAATCAATTCATTTTTGTTTTGTTTGTTTCCTTTCATGTTTCTCTGTTTTATTATTAAAATTTAATACGAATTTGATAGCTTCGAATGTCTTGAATTTGAAATTGTAACTACGGCAACGTTCTTAACATCATCGTCTGACGCAAGCCCGCCACGACGGCGCGGCTCAAAGGACCAGTTCACACGTGGCACTCTTGGCCGACGCGCGACGGTTGGCCTGTCGAAATACATCGAAAAAATTGCGAAAAAACAAAATACGTATTTAAAATTGTTGAGTGAAACATGTATTTTCTTAGATTGAAAGTAGTTCGTAAAGTGGCGATAAGAGACGGTATTCAAAGTAATGTGCGCTTTTCAAGGTGTTTTGTAAATCAGTGGTTGAAATAAAACAGAGAAACATGAAAGAAAACAAACAAAACAGAAATTAATCGAGTATTCGTTGGGCTGTTTTTGATATATTGAATTCTAAATTACGATAAACATTTTAGGAATTTCTTTTTTGTGACCTGGTTGTGAATAATATGATGAATCATTTTCGTAAACGTCATAAACGTAATGTTTCAGCCTTTTAGTTAATTTTCGGTGGTTTTTGTTAAGTTTTCATTGAAAGGGTAAGTACTAAAAATAATTAATGTTTTTTTTCTATAATAATTATTAATAATGAGCACTGATAAAAGATTAAATTTAACATTCCTAATTTTTGAGTAGAAATTTGTCTATAAATGTATAGTTCTACTATAATATCTAATCTATAGTAGAATGTGGATAACATAGGAGGTTGCAACACTGCAAGGTTTAGATACACCGTAGAGAAATCTCAGGTGAATAAACAAGTGGCACTAAAAAGTTTTTTCAAATTTCCCGGAAAATATCAAGAAAAATTTTAAATTTTTAACATTTTTTTTTCGCAAAAATAACCTCATAGGCGTGTTTCTGGGGTTGAACTATTCTACCAGTTAAAATATTTGCACTTATTTCTGGGACACCCTGTATAATAGTCTGAAATATCATCTAATGTTGATTTTTTCAAATACTAAAGTAAGACAATATTTTCAAAATACAGCCACAAAATGTATTTATTAATTACAGTTATATTTTATTGAAGGAAAGTGTGAAATTTGTATTAAACATTTAATTATTCTGGATATATTAACTATTTCTTTTATTAATAGGTAATGTTAAAAAATATATATCTAAATTAAAGCATACCATAAATTCCATACGTTATTTAATATCTCTATATTTGTATGAATTTATAAAATTACATATTCATATTCAAAATATTTCTAACAAAAAATAATTTTGCAAAATATACTTATACGTAGCAATATAATTTATTTTGTTATTATATTATGGAAATTATTATACATATTATGTAGGTACCTACTTAATTAGTTTCATTTGCATTTTTAATATGCAATATATCAAGGTTTTGTTATAATCTTGTAAGAAGAAATGTAAACAACCAAAAGGAAACTTGTATTTCTCAAATAAATTAAAAATACCTACTCGAGTAGAAATCCAAAAATAAAAAGGATATTTATATTTCTTTAAAAAAATAAAATACATAATGAGAACGCTCTTTGACCGAAATAAATTGCATTACAGTGGCCTTTTAAATAATAATGGGATGGGTAAAAAAATAAAATTAAAAAAAAAATCAATATAAATATCAATTAATCTATTCAGTAAAAAATAATTTTACTGAATAAATTGCCTATAATATTGTCTTAAATAAGTGCAAATATTTTCAGGGCTGGTAGATCTCCATAAAAGAAACATATTTTCTCTTTACCGTTTTTCACTAAGTCCAAAATAACCGAGTTTTTCAAGTTTGAAAATTAAAAAAAAATATTTTATTTAAAAAGAAATTGAAAGCCACCGTTTTTTTCTGTATTTGCATCCCTCTTAGTGCCGTAACCATACAGTAAAACAGTAACCCTGGTAATGTCAGAGATTCAGAAATTACAGCGTGGGAAAATTTGTGGCAGTTCTAAAAAGCTTTCAAAAAATATATAGGAAAATTTAAAAGAAAATGCACAATTTCAAATTTTTTTTGCGAAAATACCTCAGACGTTTTCCTGGGATCGAAATATACCACCCCTAAAGATATTTCCATTTATTTGACTCGCCCTGTATAATATTACTGTGTAAACAACATTAAAGTCTGTCCAAAGTAACAAAAAAAGATTTCAATAAACGGCGTCCAAAAAAATGACAAAAAATACAATTTATCTGTCAATTAATATGAGAGTTACTGTTACTGTCGTGTATCCTCGCGTTGACAATACTATATCCATAGTTAGATACATTTTTTCCATAGCAACTATTAAAATTGCCTTATATCTATCAAAAATCAATTAGATAGAATAGTACTTTAACCGCAAGGGTAGATTAAATGATACTTTAACAGCGAGGATAAGTTAAAAACTTTATTTCTTCTCGCAAGTTTTATAATTGCTTCTATTTTTGAAAATTTTTGTATTCCTTTTCATAAGTCATTCGGGATTTAAATGGAAGTAGTTTGGATATGGCGTTTGTCGCCCCAGCCTGAATATCTGTTGGTAATTTACTTATTTCGTTTTGAGCCATTTCTGGCTCCAATTCAATCAGCAATCGGCACGAAAGAGAATTGAAAAATATTGACTCAAAACTGAAAACTAAAGAGACAGTTTTATTTATTTGTTAAATTGCATATAAACCAACGCCAACCCAGCTCAATATTTTTTGTACTCGTAATAAATTCCTTGAAATAATAATTCCTGAATATTTTTTAAAACGTAACTCGCTATGGAAAAAAATATTGTTTTATACACGACGATAAATTGCACTATCGTCTCCCGAAATTAATTCACTCGCGATTTCATCGCTCGTGAATTAATATCTTCGGACAACGATAAAATACCATTTTATCGTCTTGTATAAAAAATAACTATTATTTTTGACAACATATCTACGTATAAGCCAAAATGAACAAAATTCGTGATTGCTAAGTGCCAAATTATAAAAATTTACATTTTTTAGTTATTTTAAGTCATATTTGTAACATATTTATTAGCAGTCTGTATAATATTTCATAAATTGTTGTAAAAATGTAAGTAGAGTAAGTTATTTTCTACAAGGCAAGTAACATAAACCTGTGAAAAAAATTCAGTGACGCTGAAAAATATTTAATAAGGTATCCTTTGCTCTGCAGAAAAGAAAAAAAGGCATATCGTTTGCCTTTTTTTCTTGCTTTCAAGATAGTGACTTCAGATATTTTGATCTAATTTTGTTGTTATCTGGTTTTCAGGTCTGCCCAATGACGTGGCAATGTATTGGCACCAGTATCCTTGGCCATTGGGGCAGATTTTTTGCAGATTCAGAGCATTAATATCCGAAGCGTAAGTATCTTAATTGCATAGACGAAGTGTTGTTGCTGTTTTTTTAAGTTTTTCTCTAAAAGTTGTATTTAACACTGGTTTTAAGAACTTAACATAAAATATAAAAGCATATATTCTGTTTAAAATAGTTTATAATATATAGATCATACTAAATAAACTTTTAAGCACGTGATTAAGCTTAACCGGCACAGCGTTGTCGTCTATTACGTATTTTCTTTTTATCAAAATAGTTTAAAAAATAAAAATGAATTAATAATAAATACACCTACCGGCAAAAAAAACCGGCCACTAAAAACTAGTCCCAATTTCAGAGTTGGATTTCTTGCGAACCACTCATTAGATATTTATATATTATATAATATATATTATATAATATATATTATATTAGATAGATATTAATATACAATATATTAGATCTTGATGATTTTTTTTAATTGTAAATTAATTCCTTCTTAACGGATGCTACGTCAGAAATTTTTATTCCGAATTTATTTTAAGCATATACAGGGCACAACAATAAGACGAAGTTTTTTGCTCGAACTTTGTGACACCCTGTAGGGTGCAGCAGCTATAGTAGCTATTGCTAGATCAAATCACATTGTAGCCTCATCTTTTGTGAGCATTTTGTTGTTTTAATCACGATATTATCTCTGTTTGTATTGGAGATACGCTGCTTTAAAACGAACGTCTCGGAAAAATGCGTTGTAGGCGAAACCGCGACCGAACCAATTCACATGTCAACGCGCAAACTGAAGACGTGCTCGACGATATCTTGGAAGTAGCTGGTGTCATGTGGCAGGCCTCCTTGCAGACCAGCTGTTTTCTTTTAGTCTTCGTTGGATTGTTCTCTCACTGACTTGAGTTCTACGCACGGCTGGTAGGAGATATTGATTCTGAAACGCTGCAATTCTACAATTTCATAAAGTATTCAGGACAATAAAGCGGTCGTCAATTGCATTTGTCTTCCGTTTTCTTCCGGAACCCACTCCCCTGGTAAAATTTTCCGTTTCCATATACCAGATTCCAGGCATCCTGGTCTGTTGTTCGAGGTATACCCAGGGTATCGGACACATGACGTTGACTTCGGCCATCTTCAATTAAAGCCACACTACGAGCAACAATTCGCCAGAACTACTTTAAATGTCAAATATGACAGATACCCGAGTGCAGCAGAGTGTTAATTTGCTTATATAATTTTTAATCTGAGGATCTATCGCTAGAGTCAAATTTTACCTAAGCCAATAAATAAAAAAAATGTTCCATAAGATGCGGACGTTTTCTGTGACATTGTATATATGAGTTTCAATTATTTGAAAATACCGAGGAAGGGATTACTCTAGATATTATATTATTATTGTCACAGAGATTATTTGTTAAACACAATAGATAGATAGATATTATTTATTTGATCCATAACTATAACAAAACCTTGTTACAAAGCTTATTAATCAGGGAACATTATTAAAATAGGATTAACTTAAGCCTACAAATTAATAATACCTACATAACGCGACTACAATTATTAATAAGAAAAATAATCATACATTATATAAAAACTATTTATATTTTAATAGTAAATAGATTTGTTTAATAAGAGACTAAGAAAACAGTGTTAATATACAGGGGTGGCCCAGGCTGAGCGTGCATTAGAAGTTTCTAGAGAATTACAATATCAAGATCGGATATTGTTTGTATATAATAACGAGATCTATCGATTAAACATATTTTCAATATGGCGACACTTCCGAAAACACCGGAAGGTGACAGCAACTTTCTTATTTTAAATGGGTACTCCCAATTTTTATTACATCTTTAAATTCTCTATATAATTTTATGATTTTATATATCAAACACTATACAGGGTGAGTTTCCTACGATGTTCTCTATGGGTATCTCGGAAACTACTGGATATAGAGAGTCGGTTAAATGGGGAAAGGATTGCAGTTTTGTGGGGTCATAAATATACGCTTTTCAGATTTTTGAAAAAGTTCATGGCTTACTAGATATTTCGAAAAAAAAACAAATTTTGGCTATCCTAATTCCATTATAATCTATTTTAGACAAAACATTTTCAGATGAAAGTTGTAGATAATCACATCCCTAATGAGTTTGTCTCCAATTTTATCTAAGGCCTATCATTTTTCACGTATGACACAAACATATGTTTTTTTAAATGGAAACCTTAGCCATAACTTTATAAAAAGCGCCATTTTTTAAGCTTTTCAGCGATATAAGCTATAATATGTTTTTTTCGAAAAATTACTTAGTTATAGCCAATTCTTAGTTCTAGTTATAATTAGCCATGGAAACGAGTTCAATCGTCGTTACTCTTAGAAATGTGAAACTGTCACATCCAAACTTTGTAAATTAAAATTAACAAAATTGTAAATATGAATTTTTCAAATGAAGAAAAACGTGTAGGATTATTGGTTCAACTTTTCTTAGCCATACATTTTATTGATGCGCGAGTATCTAAATTTAATTTTTCTAACATGTCTTCAAAACCTTTCTCTAAAAAACGTAGGTAAGTATCGTTCAGCTGCCAACGTATCCTCGAAAACGTATGGCCAAGAAAAGTTTGAACCCCTAGAATTAGAATAAGTGGGAGGGAGGTTAATCTCTGCGACCTTAGAGATCTATTGTGTCCCCCTTTCTTGAGTTATAACTCATCATACAGTCCCAGGACTTCCTACGGAGACCCGTGTCCCTCACAGTCGAGGAGCTACGACCCAGGCCGGGTAGACGAAACGGTAGCTTGTGTCGCCTGTTGGGTTTAGAGGTAGGAGGTAGGCTCCCGACCCTTGGAGGAGGTGGTAGCTTGTATGCCACTTGCGGAGGATGGTTTCACGCAAGTGTCAGCCACCTCTCCTGTAGTTCTCTTTGGGTTTGGCCCCTTGGAACTTTCATTGTTACTGTGCCCAGTGTCGCTAGGGGGTTTCCCCACAGCTTCACCGGTGATGTTTTTATTACTATTATTATCAGATCAAATAGTGTTCCTATGAGTCGCTAGGGACAGTCGGTCCACTTCTACAGAGCCCCGCATGTAGAAGTAAGGGGTAAAATACAATGGGGTGACCCCCGGTGCCCCAAGGTTGAGGCTGTCCGTAGTCCCGCCCGGTATCGTTATATGTCTTGGTGCAATTCCCTGGCCACGACACTACAGTCAGGGACAAGACGATGAGTGAGATGCTTCTTAGACCAAGCCAAGTGCTAGAGGGGATTCCCCCCAGCACCTGACCAGGAGCTTCCCCACCAACGACAAGGTCTTGCATCTCCTAGGGGAAGCCCTTGAACCCCTAACGCGTCCATTTACTTTTACACGCTTTTCTTGGTTTGAAAAATTCATATTTAAAATTGTTTAAAAATGACAATAATTGGCTATACTCAGTATTTTTTTGAAAAAAAGCATATAGCTTATATCGCTGAGAAGCTTGAAAAATGGCGTTTTTTATGAAGTCATGGCCAACTATGGTTTCCATTTAAAAGAATATATGTTTGTGTCGTATGTCAAAAATGACAGGCTTTAGAAAAAATCGGAGAACACAAACTCATTAGGGATGTGATTATCTACAACTTTTATCTTAAAATTTTTTGTCTAAAATAGATTATAATGGAATTAGGGATAATTTTTAAAATAGTCAACATTTGTTTTTTTCGAAATATCTAGTAAGCAATGAACTTTGTCAAAAATCTTAAAGCATATTTATGACCCCTAAAAACTGCAATTCTTTCCCCATTCCCCATTTCACCGGCTTTTTATCTTCAGTAGTTTCCGAGATACCCAAAGAGAACATCGTAGGAAACTCACCCTGTATATCTAACATTAACCGTTTTTGGGAAAAAATATTTAAAATTTTTGGAAGAAAAAAACTGCCTGTTAAAAAATGTAGCCTAAAAATAGCCTAAAAGCGATGGAGAAATAAGAAGATGCACAACCTTATGGGCGATTTCTTGATTCTCAAAATCTGTCCGAGATGTAGGTGGCAATGTGGCAATACCGTCGCCGCTAGTCAACCTGTCCGAGATTTAATAGTTTAAAATAGCAACAAAATCAGGTTAAATAAGTTTTATAACAGTCAACAGTTTTAACGAAGAATGCCATTTTTCAATTTACAACACAATTTATGTAAATGACACTGTATTTTTCCGTGTTGATAAATGATTTTAATTTCTCTTCTATATCAAGGAATACAAATAACAATTCTTAACACTATTACTCAAGGCTGTACACTCCGCTACTTTGCAATCCAGATTTTTAAGCATCGATCATCTGCCATGACGCAAAGCTTTGTCTTTTTAAAGCCTTGCCAAGCCGAAAAATAAATAATAGTTCCGAGGTGTCAAATGAACGGAATATGATAAATGATGTGGCCGATTTTAATGATGTAGTTAGTGGTTTAGAATTATCATAAATAATGTAAAACTAAAGGACTAAAATAAATAATTTTATATTGGTGAAACATCTAGACCCTTAAATGATCGAATTAAAGAATATAAATTTTATTTAAAAAAGGGCGATTTTTACAAATCTAAGATTTGTCAGCATTCATGGGACACAGGGCACAGAATAAATTTTAATAATGCAAAAATTATAACGAGAGAAGCGATAGCCTCTAAAAGAAAAATAAAAGAGGCTTTTTTAATACTGTAGATGTTAGTAAATGTATGGTAATCGCAGAAATAGATAGATAAAAATTAAAAACGAATTAAAAATAATCCTACAGAAAGTTTGAAGCTGTGGCGAAATACCCATAGGACTTTTTTGGAGAGATGAATCCGCCACAGAGGCATATGCATTTTTTACAAAATTAATATTGAACACTGGTTACATTTAAAAGCAAGTTACCCTTTTATTTCAAATGAAACACCCAGTATATTATTCCAATATTAAATGGAGAATTCATCTCTATCAAAATACTGTTAAAGTTGCCTACACCTCAAAACCAAATTTTCATAGATCTTTATTACACTCTTATAAAAAGTAAGGTAAAAAAGTTGAC